CTATACAAGATTTCTATATAGTATTTATAAGTTCACGAAGGTTTGTTGTAAAGCTGCCAGCAACCTTATCCATACAGATCCTGTCTTTTTTGAGGTTTGAGCCGGGAGCCAACCGAAGTGCTTAGTAAATCATATTCCAAATTATGCGAACTCTTCAGGTTATTTAATTCGTTAGCTATGTCTGACCAGCGTTGAGATAAACAAATGTTTTATCTGCAGCAGTCCGCGTCGTGGAGTGGTCAGTATCGTGCAAAAAATACACAATGAAACATCAAGCTCGAATCAGCGTATGCTTCTACGCCCAAATTGAAATCGAGTAGACACGAGTGACTAGTTGAAAAACTGCACAAAATGATATTTATTAGGGGCTGATAGGTAAACCAGATTATATTGTATATTACAACACTCAGTTTATTGTATTAGAAATAACCTTACGCTTGTGTGCGTGCAATGCTTATCCAGCAATGGTAAATAAAATGTTTACTATAAAATCCACTGAACTTTTCCTAGCCTTCAGTTAAATAAATGCAATGAAGCCTTTTTCAGACAAACAGAAATATATGTTATGTAAAATCATCGTGTGGTCGTCAAGCGTTCTCTTTCAGAGTACGCGATATTCAATTCAAACCCCATCATATGTACTCGAGCGTCTCTCTAAATGTCGAACTTACCGTTACAAGTATGTAGTAGTAGTGGAAAGCCATTTCTAACTTGTCTTTTTACTTATTCATTTAGTAACAACTCGATTCTGTTAATTAGGTATCAGCTATGGGATATTAGATGAATAATTCTGTGGGCCCATCGCGGAGTTAATATTTATGAGTTATTGGGTAATGGAAGCTAAACAATTGTATTTCTACATTCTGACTATTTCTTTGTTTACTTTTGGTCCTGATTGCATTACCTCTGTGCGTCCGGTAGGTGTTATTAACGCAATACTTACTCCATGACACCATCAAACATTTCACATAGCCTATTAAATGAGATATTTCCATATAAAGTTTAGATCACATGACGGCTGAGGGGCACCCACACAGTTAAGCATGTTTGGATTTGGATCTCTTAATTATCGTTTTACTAGGGTCATTAACGTTTTACTAGGGAACAAATTGATGATCGTTCCGCTGCGTGGTGCTTGTCGCTGGAAATTTCCATTATTCCGCTCTAAATGTCGTCGGTGGTACCGTTTTGTTGTCTTTTCAAGCAGCTAAGACCATCTCTATTATGGAACGTTAGCGTAGCAACTGACTCAAAATTCGTCATAGAGAATCCCTTTAAGCAATCCGGGATCTCTGCTTTGCAGCTCCTCTATACGCGTGGATATATACTACAACGATGTGGTCTTGTCGAACAAGAAAGTCGAATTATGTTTTGCATCCTTCGTGCATTCGAATGCCATGTCACCGTTTGACATCTGAAGAGCAGTTGAAGGTCGTACATTTGAGAATCTCAATGAAAAGGAAGAACGAAGTCTGAGTGTCATTGCAGTCCCCCGTACAGCAACTGTGCCGTTTCTTTTATATTCTTTTCGATGTAAAACGCAGCTATCTTGATCGACCAGCGACGCTTGTAATAGAAAAGATACTGAATGTTGTTTAGAGATAAGAACACAACTACTACAAACTGTTTCAAGTTTTGTGTCCCGCATCGTCGTGAGACATAATTCCATTAGACGGCTGGCCCCCAGCACGAAATGAGGTGGCTCTATACCGCGGTTCTAACCTAGACCACAACGCGGCCTAAGACTAGCAAGCAAACACGTCACCTACTAACCTATCATGGGGACACTAGAGATGATTGAAGTTTTGTTTTGCAGTTCTAACTTTTTTCGTCTATCTAAATCAATAAGATACCATGCTTAAAAATATAATAACAATTATTATCTTTAATACGTATGTTTTCATGTTAATACACGTAGAGGGCAAGGAATCTTCTGGTAACTTAAAACCTAAAAAATATCGTACACTAGGTTTGGTCTTATCCTATACAATCAAGATATAGAGAGAATACACCAATCCATGATGATCAGAAAACTAGAATCCAACGAGATAACAGAGAAATGACCTATTAGCGCATGCTTATCTCTATACAAGCCATCCACCGTAGTAATAAGCGGTGCACATTTGGCGGCGCCAAAAAAGCCCGAGTTGCGTGTTTGTCAATGTTTGGATAAGTAACATTACAAAACATTGTTGTAATCCAGCGACGAACAAGCCATTCCCATCGGTAGAAAGACTCCTATGGGAGTAAAGACAAACTCACACTGAAGCACTAAGTTAATTCATTTACACAGTTGAGGCATTTACAAAAAGAGCTTGCTGAGCATTCAACTATCGATAGCCTCGCCCTCGCCCCCCCCCCCATGCCGTTTAGAAGTTCGATATTTGGTCGATTGTACAAAATAACACTGAATGACTAATTTTGACGAAGGTCTGATGACTGACAGCCCCATTTCGTCAATGTCTTCAAATGTCGTTTCAGACGAGCTGATTCGACATTTGAAGATACTATCGACCCGGAGGGTAGCAGTAGCACCTCTACAACAAAGATGATTACTTCTAACAGTTGCAAATTTGTCACCAGTATAGCAATTTAATTTATAAACCACCACGAGCTACATAAAGTAGCGAAAAATTATTTCATAGAATATTTATCAGACAATTCTTGTTTTGGTTCTTCGATTGTACCTTCTTCTATTCCAAAGCTACATTTTCAAAGGCATTCTAAAATAAAATTTCGTTGAACAAATAAAGCGGGTTGCTTAATTTATCTATAAAATTGCCCATTTCGGGCAATTTTATAGATAAATTAAGAAAATCAAGTGGCCTTAGAGTAGAATTCAGCTTAGCAGGAATAAATAGAGTTGTATATATAAAGACATTGTAGCATGTCCATATCGCAGGTATCGACAACATGTGAAATGAGGTTGCTTGAAAAAAAATTTGACGATTTAGTAGAATAAAGGACAAAATCCTAGTATTGATAAGTGCACCTCCCATACATCTATTGCAGCTACGCGATAGAAGAGCTTTTGACGAATGCCCTATTTTTGTTTTATCCTTCCTATGGCATCGATTGTTCACAGCGGAAGTGTGAAGTAGATTTTGGCCTATAGATACCTGATTTCTGATATATACCGTACTATTGCTTCAGTTTTGAATACCTTTAGACGACAACACACAAACATCTCTCGAGATTACATAATTTTCATTCATTACGCGGCTGTAGATCTTTTTGTAATATTCATAATCAAGAATTAGAGGAGTTGTGGCATGTACTAGGTTCTGAATCTTGAAATTTTATCTTTTTACATTGATAAGTTATAATATGTAAATTATAAACCCTTATTTTTCAAAAACATGAGGGTTCAACTTTCGCCAAAAATCTCGGCTACACAATGTTCCTTTAGATATTTTTTAAATATAGTTACTGCCGCTGCCCATTCCAGCGTTTCATTTAGTACTTGTTCTGCTTCTTCATGATTTTCTTGCTTCGATTTTCCATCTTTTTATTGCACGCTTATGTCCGCTTTTACCTGTCTTGCTGTTTCGCAGCCGCGCATGCTGTCATAACTTAGACTCGTTGCGATTTTCCCACGCTCGCAAAAGCGGATGAAGTCGTCGAAATTATCGTTTTGCTTTGCCAATACTATCTTTCGCGAACTACACTAGATGACCAGAGTGCTACACCCGCCTCTCACACGGCGCCTCCATAGGACCCCATTTCATTACGTACACCGCAGCACTGTGATCAGTGTACCGGGCTAGCAGCTCGGCGCGCACTGCTACAAACCTGCCTATTTATCTACGCAGCTGGCAGTAGCACCAGCAAAAACGATGGTTTCTTCATGCGCCCTAAATGTTCAAGCGGATTTTTAACTCTAAGGTAACTCGATGAGTACAAGTAGCAAGGAGCCAGTTTTCAATTTTTTGTATCGCGTACGATTTATTGTCCGTTTAAATTTCTGTCTAACATCTGTTTTCAATACGTAGCCGGTCCGTAAGCCTCGCTGGAAGCTACCACCCACACACGAGTAGGTAGAAACGTTCTCAATGAGTTTCACGATGCCAAGTTGCAGCTAAGAGAGCCAGCGGAACGGCCTCGTCTTCACCTCAGATTTTTTCAGTTCTATCCTTCGCAGATTTCTCACAATGGAATAAGAAGAGATGCGCTTCTTTCAATAGTATGTCTCCTGAGAGTGACTGGTACACGGACCTCCTTTTTGATATATGCACGAATAGCAAGTTTGATATAACGTAGACAATAAGGACAATACAAAAAATTTCTACAGGCTGACGTTGAAAACTCCCTCTTTGTTTTACATGCTAGCGCCATGGAATGCTAGAATAACTCACCGACGTAATACCTCTTTAACTCCCTTAGCGAATTGTTTTTAAGTGCATAATTACTCATCAGTTAACATGCAATTATAAAAAAAAAAGAAAAAGAAAAGCGTATTGAGAAAAAGAGTGTTCAACACTACTAATGATTTCCAATTGCAGGAAATCTTCATGTAAAACAGTGACCAAATGAAGCTTTTAAAAGAATCTGTAGACATGAAGCTACAGCTGAAATAAAAGCATCGGCATTAACCGAGTATGTCAGGCTTCTGATCCTTATCCAATCAAGGTAACCGAAATCTCTGCTAACTATCATATTTTCAACGACATGTGAAACGAGCCTATCATATGTTACTGTCCTGAGCTGCGAAAAAGGCTTGGAATGTCCGTGTGTTGAAGTAAAGCGCTCCCACAGCGCCAAAGTGACAGACTATGAAGAAACAAATTTGAAGAATCTTCTTTAAAGACTAAGAGACTTCATATGTCTCCAACTAGATTATTGTGATAAGATAATTTCTATTATCGTTCGGCCTGGTTCTTGGCACAGTTACGTTATGATCACTGGTATTTCGACGTACATGAAATAAGTTAACTAGTACGTAAGCTAGGAAAGAAGAACGAAATAACTTCTAACTTAAGTTTTATGCTGGGTTGTTTTAGGTGCGATCTTCTTAAAAGAGGGAGAAACAGAGTTACGAGCGGCGTTCGAGCACGCGATCGAAGTGCACAATTACCGCGATTCACACTTCTCGGTGGCGCCGCATGTGGAACTAGTAGAATCTGATGATCCTTTTCAGGTCGCTAAAAAAAGTAAGCAGGAATTTTAAAGTAAATTTCAGCCAAAGGTAATCTACGCTACTGCAAAAGAAAATCTAATTTTTCAAATGTAGTATTTACAGGTAATAGACCATTATTATAAGATGTAGATCTATGCAAAGTTCACCAGATACGTCTAATAACTTGTTGCAAAAATAGGATTATTGTACAAGATGTCCAACTTAGAAGATCCGCTTTTCTTCACGCCTATCCGTACAACCACGAAATTCTGCTCTGAACACCTTTGTAAATGAAATGTCATCTTCTCAATCGTTTCTTCATCTTAGCTAGTAGCCATTAATATAGGAAGTAACACTGAGTACTGATGCACGGAAATTGTAAACAAATACATAAGATAAATGTAATTTACTGTGACAAGAATTCAGCTTCCTAGCTGAAAATAAACCACGTGTACTGATGACCGTTTCAACGAGGACGAGTTAGAAGGGTTGTCCAGAGTTATTTAGCCATGGAAGATACAAATAAAAATAGCTGGATGCACGTTCCGTTATCGTTCACGCACTACTCAGTGCTCTAGGAACCCCTCAACAGCTATGTACTTTTGATTCGCGTACCATGTTTTGTTGTCAACGTCTGATTTAATAAAATCGATAGTAAACTTCATGACGGTACCTATCGCATCGTTTAAAGTGCTGAAACAGTTGACGTTACACGAATCTAGGGATAAGAAGACTAGAACTATTGCTCGATTCGGTCCTTTTCGATCCAGGACAGTGTGGAGACTGTACGTTGTTGTTGAGGCACCACGAAAAACTACGGTCATCTGACGGCTCTGATCACTTCTTTTTTTTTCGGCAAAATTTTCGTAATAACAAATGGCGGTGATGTCCATTACAAGTATAATTTCAAGCACAACTAACTGTGTCCGTTTAGGTAACAAAATATATCCGACACCGTTACTAATGTCACTTTTTCTCCTGTTCGACGCCCATCTCTTGTTTGATCTTTTTCTGTAGGGTAACACAGACGGACCTACGTCTCGTCTATGGCGACAGTGTGTTCCACGATTGTAACGATAGCTACTGCATCGATTCTCTGTAGTATCTCTGTATCTCTATCCTAAACTCAGTTTGTAAGGAGCCCATACGCTTTTGTTCGCCATTTTCAGTGTTTTTTTATTGCAATAACATGATACGTACTTCGGGCACTCTCACACGGAACTGACAAGACGTGCATTGTCCACGGTTTGTTTTGTTCAAAAGCTTCCGTAATGACAGCGACTCGTTTCCGTTTGAGATCCTGAGGCTTAGTCATCTCTTTCATAATCCTCAACCTTTCAGCTTTTGTTCCTAAAGTCAATACGCACCAGTACCAAAGTATTGCTTTACTAAAAGCCTCCTTGCCGGATCTCTTCTCCAATTTTAGACGAATTCAGCTAGTGCTTTAACCCTTATCATCTCGATGACGTTTTCAATTGATTGGGCTACTCATTACAGCATCGCTGGTTTCCACAATGTCGACCCAGTTTCATAGTAACAAACAGTCATGCGTCACAGGACTGCACATAGATGCGATGTGATAAAACAATCCCGATTGCAAAGTAGCAAGACATGTTTATTTCTATTTCAAGTTTGTTTAACGTCGGGCACTGCCGTTAGACGTTCGATCGGATTATCGACTTCCGATACGAAGGGAAGTGTGTCTATGGCCGACTACGAACTTAGGCCCTAAGATTAGTAGCCAAATCAGTTATCACGGGACACACTTATTTATCCGTAATCCCTTTTATGTCTACTTTCTGTTCGATACGACACAGATATAATTAGTCTATAGAATTAAGTAGTTATCAATTCGCCAGCCAGGGTTTTCAACATTACTGATAAGCCGGGTTAAAATAGCTCTGGAGACCGAAAGTAGATGGCTCCGCAGAGATTTTTACGGGGCGAAAACAATGGTTTTGAATAACGCTTCGAATACTTGACGACAGTACACATGTCTGTTTTCGTAATAAGACAGGCATACCTTTTTTTGGCTATTGTCGTATGATTGACACACAAGATTTTTGCATGGGAATAAATTATTTACATGCTGGTTTTTAGAATTTACGGTAAAATATCGTTTTTGAGATTTAGTACACGTCTTTATCGTGTCGAAGATTACTTTTTTTTTTTTTCTTACGTGAAAGGTGCGTATTAAAACATTCAAACAATGACATCGAGTGTCTATCGTACTGATCTCCGTACTGTGCTCATACACTTTTAACCTTCTAAGTCTCTCAGTACCTTTTTTCAAGCTTGGATACGATGGAGATCATAAATGGCCCAACATATATAGTGAAGGGCCTGATATACAAAGGTGGACCTTTTCAAATAAGATCTAGCTAAAGCGGCATGTTGCGTGAACAGTCATATCCGTCACGTATTGTATATCATTTCCGAAACTGAACGCTGCAGCGTGGATGATGTTTAAGATTAAATCATAATATTTCCGTGTCCATAATATAGAATGACTTACTTTTCAACCAATAGATTCAAATTTAGCCTGCTGATCTAGTTTAAACAATGCGTAGGGTACCTTGGAAAAGCAAGTCGCCATCGTCTTTACCGACTCTTGCATACACTTTTACACATATTGATAAATATAATATGCACATTATTAAATTTATATAGAAAATGTATAAATGAAATCTCAAGCTGTAGCTTGAATATTTCCTATTGACTGTATCACAAAGGAAGCGGGCATTGAAAAAAAAACAGCCGATTACTGACCCCAAGACGGGAAAGCAACTTGAAAAGCTTCGAATGAGTGACCTGTTTCGATACGACTTGAAATCGAAGTCGATCACGTTGAAACACTGAGACGTTCCAATAAACTTCGTTCATTTCATGTCTTCAGTAGCCGCGAATCGGTGTTTCTTAATTTGTGATACAGGCTTCCTGTTGACGTTCATAATCGTTTATCCCTTTTTATGCATTGAGGACACATCGTCTGGACATTTGTGCAAGGAAAGCACACATTGAGCTCTTAAGGCCTTCAAATGGGAGATCGTCCAAGATTTCACTCGTCTTGGACTGGATTCTATTCAAATACTGGAGTATCTTTACTAACACGACATTTACATCGTGGACAGATGATTCGGAAGGGTCTTCGAAAAGCAACAGAGGGTCTACGAGATCGCGCCGTAACCGTTCCTGTTCGACGGACATATAGATTCGAAGAAAATGCCGCTTCTAGTTGGTCGATTAACATTGTTCTGAAGGTCCGCGGTCTTGTGCAGATCACATTTTTTTTCTGTTGATAAAAATAGCTGAGATACATGTTTGTTGATCTTTTCGTGATATTTTACGTTTATGTGAAACGTATTCGTCAATGAAGTGGTTGTGCATACCCTCGCAATTGTTAAAAAACATAATTGACCCCGATTAAATTTTATTCGAGCATTTTGCATAATTGTGCTTTTGGCAATAGTTTCACTTATCATATATATGGCTGGAGGTAGAGAATTTTAAGTCAATCAGGTTGGGAGGTATCTCAGCTTTTAACGCTGAGTCACAATCAATGACATATAGCACAATGCCGAAGGGAGACGCTGTGTTTGAGTGCATTGGGTGTGACCTGTAACAATCGGTACCAACCCATGATTAGCATGTCTCCTTTCATTTTGTCATCAAACCTACGCGCGGTAGGTTTAAAGCAAGCAAAAACAACATTTTATCATTTTTCTTAGTTTTTTAATTAGTACCATCATGCGGTCTACGAAGTTATTAGTTCTAGTTCTTCCTACAGGCGAGGCTGTAGACTGATCCAGAATTTATCAACCTCTATGAGAGTATAAGCGACGAGAAGGATCTTATATCAGTTTCGAAACTCTTTAAAACATAATAACTTCTACTACCATGCGACTTTTTTTTTTATCCTTTGCATAAGCTACTACAGTTTCACTCAGCTGAAGTTGTCTGAAGTTGTCTGTTTTGACGAGCCATGGTTCTGTTGGTAGAGAAATATCTGCTTCTTTGATACCTAGGTATTGGTAGAGAGCATCTCTTGTTGAGTAAACACGTATATAGGCAAATGTACTTTGGATTTATTCTTACGGAAGGTATAATTTGGCCCGCGGTTACGCGAAGTCCGTAGTCAGTATGAATCATCGAAGTTAAGCTCCTCAATTACTACCACTGCTTTGAACTTTGGTTTTTCGAAACCGTTATGGCGTTTTATTGCTCGTTTGGCACAGCGACCGGCGGATGAGATGGCCGCTGGTACTATAGGAGCATTCTTGCCATCAACGCATTTAACTTGTGTCTGCAATCGGACAGAGGTATCTGGTCAGGGCCCTTCACTCGTCTTCAGTTTATGCGCTCTTTACGAGATTTACATCTTTCTCAGTAAGCTATGTTTTCTTTGTTAGGGTTCTACTGAGCTCTTCGTTCGCCTTGCATAGATGATTGACGTTCATAAGGAGTTTTTGATTTCACGTAGAATTTGACGAACGTCACATGAATCATCCTTTTGACGGAAACCAGTTTTTGCAAATAATGCCTTTTACGTTTCTCGTCTGCTAAAAATAATAAAAATAAAAAAAAAAATTGCAGTTTATACATACTTGGCTCTGACTGATATACAATAATAAGTGAAACAGTCTCTTTGAATCTCTTTATGGCTATATTGTACAAACATGTCTATTCCACCAGGTGTTTTAGAATATATATATCAAGGGAAGGTCTAAACGTGAACCGTTAAGCAGGTAGTTTCGCACCGCTTTGTGGCACTTACTTGCTTTAGTGCCTGTTGCATGTTTATTTGAGCGGACCTATTCCATTAGGACGTAACATTATGATGCACCTTGAATAGAGAGAAATTGGCGTATGCTTAACAGATCACTAAAATTTTAATTAAAAAAAAGTTACGCGAAGTTGTTTACACTTTTGTTAAGTTAACGCCACGATCGTAGAACTGAGGCCAGCCTTGACCATTAAATTCTGCATTTCTGAACTAGCATCTCCAAGATTTCCCCATCTGAATGAACTCACCTGGTTCTTGCTTTCCACCCTATTTTGAAGGCAAAAGCCTCATTATGCCTGATTAACCCCAGGGCGACAGGGTCCCCAGTGGACGATACCAAGTTCCATGAAGCCATCAAGGCGAGTGATCCTAAGAAACCTCCAAGCGGCCAGGCGAACTGAGGCACAGATGTCGCAGCCCTTGAATAATCCAGGGTAAGGCGCTTGGCTAAATAAGCCGGCCACGCAGATACCCTATACCTTGCCACATTGCTTAGTGACCGACCAATGTTGTAAGCTACAATCGGAATTTTCTTCTGTTATATGATGGGCCAGCTGGACTTTGACGGTGGTTTATCGGAACGGCACCAAGTCGTTGTCCTCCTACTTGAACAATTATCTCTCAAAACGTTTTAGGATGCGGTCGTCTACCCGAGTTCGGTAAGTTCAAGTGCCCCTTCCTACATCGAGACTTAGAGTGCCAGAGAAGCGGAGAGACCGGGCAGAAAAATGCTGGAATTGGAAAAAATCGGAAATGGCATCCTTTAGGTGCAACGTTTTGGAGGTTAACATGCATATTCAATGTATGCAGCGAATCCAGGTTCCATCATTATAGATGATCAACTTTTAAAAACAATGTATATTATTGGGTATATGATCGGCTTCGAAAGAAGAATTTTTACAGTGAGGGTTCATCCATTGAAGCCGATTTACTTAATTACAACGATTAGATCTTCATCACAAGCTTCATGTTATACAGAATCGCCGTTACGGTTTCGACTTTCTTAAAAATTTTAAGATAAGATGAAGTAACACGTTTGTATAAATATAATTGTTTGGAAATAATAATACATTTCATGAAGTGAGTGTTCCACAGAATAACAAATATAAACATATACAACGACGAAGCTACGTATGACGGCGATTCATTATGGCATAATCACATTGTCACTAGGTGACCGCGCATCATTTTGAACAATAATCGGTAGCGGCCAATATTCACAGAAAGTGTTCCCGCTAGTTCGACCACATAATAAGGTCAATATATTACAATCCTATATATAGTTAATCAGCAATATAAAACACATATAAATCTAATTAGTAGCACTCCCAAAAGTCCCCCTCTAAACATTTCAGGATTGTGCTGATGATAATATAGCAAAGCTGGATCCTTTTTACCGATTTGCTTCTCGGGTACGTAAGCGTCCAGAGATTGTGAGTCTATTTTTTGTATTGCTTGTAATAAACTATTATTATAATCAAGTCTTGAACAGCTAATATATCTGGCAGAAGGAAGTTGTACCATATGCCAACTACAGATTTTCATTACAACGTCTGTAACGGGATGTTCAGTGTGAACAACAGTGGGCAAACTACCCATTTGCTCCATTCTATGTTTACCTTTAATATGTGCATACTCATTTGTAGGCGCTCGCTATGGCTGCCGGAAGAGAAAATGATTCCACACAGGAAGCCACTATAGAGGCTCCGTGAGTTTGCACGGCTCAACAACAAAGATTTGAAAGGTACATAGGGATATAAGGATACAAAGCCGCGGGATAAACGGGAGTGAATAAACTATCAAAGTACGCTAAAGTTGCGCGAGGGGCATTGCTGCTTTTGCGGGGTCGGCGACCGATAGAAGTGAGCAGACCACACGAATCGTTCCAGCCGTCTTGCCGCAGATTCAACAGCAGAAGCGATACGGCCGATATAAAACGACAGACGAAAAGAGAAACTCAGGGGCCGAATAATTACGATGTATATAGAAGCAGCAGAAACGGCGATAACAACAAACAGAATAGCTCCTCTGAAAAGGAATCGAAGGAGTAAAGCTCGTGCCAGAGGCTTATGGAAGGGCCAAAAACGGAGCGGAACATCGGATACAGCTTTCTGTATTCACCTCTGTTGTATTACTATTGCTGCTACCACCATCGCTACTTCCCAATTCGTATCCTGGATTCATTCCTGGGTAACAGGAGAGTAACGCTGGGTTTAGAGTAATTGCCTTCTATAGCTTTGAGCAGGGGATTTGGGAATGAGACTGCTCGGCGGGTGTGGGTAATACTACCAGCCATATTACAGACTGGATTGAAGCCCTCAAGCCGTTGATATTATTGCTAGATAACGCTCCTTATACATGCTAATATATTCGTACTTAGAGAGCTGGCAAATTAAGTGAGAGAATAATAAAGGCCCATTTAACGAGGGATCATTTTTATCATCAACAATTTATGCACTTTCCGTTAGATAGTCATCACAGGCTTAAAATTATATAGAATAGCTCTGAGCTTCAAAGGATTATTACCAATGCCGGTTTGACCACATGAATGGCGGTCATCCTTTTTATGCCTTAAACTAGACGTTGGATAAACAGCATCTGTAAAAATAAAAAACGGCCAGTTGTTTATAGCATATGACAATAAAGGCCATTCACCTATGTAATCCGCAACAAGGTCGGAAAGTAATCAAGTATGGGTGGGATCAATTGCAGTTTCCCTAAACAAGTTCTATGCCTTAAAAACGTATCTACCAAGTCTAGTAATTTAAATTTTTACCTATTTTATTGTCATATCGATAAGGCTTTGACTATAAACCCAGTAGCGCTTATCCCTTTCCTGTTATATACAATTGTTGAAGATATTTTCTTAATCAAGTTTAATATCGCGCTTGATTTCAAAAAAGTATTTCCAATAAACTAGGACAGACGGTGGATCGTAAAGGTATATTGCTTGGCCTTTTTGCTAGGTTCACGTATTGTCTTTAATTCTACTTTGTAGTCATAAAAAACTAGCTGCATATAAATCCGTTAAGATTGTTCATCCACTTTCATCTAGATTAACGACAAAACGAACTTGTTCTGTGAACGTTGACGACAACATACCTAGGATAGAAAACGTACATTTGGATGCAGCAGAAAGTTCCTTTTGCTTCCCAGTTATTTTTTTTTATGTCTTGACGATATAACTGTCTGTAAACACTGGAGCCTAAGTGTATACGTCACTAAACAAAAATAATCTGTGGGTCTTAGAGCGATGTAAGACAAAAGCTCTCGCTTACAAAGGGATCTAGTTTACAGTTAGGCAAAGGTCGATTTTCCGTAAAGCACCACACAATTGCCGAGTTTAAATTCATGGGACGGTACAAAATAGGTGTTTGAAGATTGCATTGCCGTACCGTCGCCTGGTAGAGTTAGAGGAGCTAGATGATTTCGTGTCGTTTGCATTTGGGGCGATTATAACCATTCATGTGAAATATGGTTCCAACCATTATCATAACGTAATAGACGTAATGACGGCAATTTAGTTACTTCGTGAAAAGTATAGTTGCTTATAGGTAATTATTTGGCCACTGCAGGCTCGAATGTCTTTAACCCAGTTTCTGTTATTGGGTACACTTATCAGGTGATGCCAATCTTTTTTCCGACCCTCAGCTATCCCGCCCACAGCAAGCATCAGTGTTACCAATTAATGTCACGACGTATACACGACCAGTCAACAAGAACGAGCAAGAGTGGCTATTACTCAATTTATCGTCTGCTTTTTGGACTTTCACAACAAATGATGATATTTCGTTACCCGCCATTTTCGAGCACTGCGAACATTCGTGCTGTTTATGGTTCCCATGGCAACCGCATCCTAGAAAAACACTTTCAATAACTGTAGATGTGAATGTCTTCCATTCGTACTACAAGTGGTGGATGGATGACACCAATTTAATGTTAACAATTATATAATATGATGCAATAAAATTATTCTTATAATATTTTTAGAGGATATGTCCGTATTAGATAGCATGTTAGCGGGCGAAGAAGACCACTGTTCTACCCAACATACATTACGAATTTGTATTCCGAAATGACTCTATTAGCCGTCACGTGTGAGATAGCCACATTCTAACTAGTAAATTATATAATTAGCTGTCCATGGTTGCCCCATTTCCTTTCTTAGTGATTTCTCTGTGACTCCTCCGTAAAAGATGGTATTAGTTCAGGGCCTACATGAAACAAGCTAAAAAATTAATTCTATGAAGCACTCGAGATTTACGAAATGCGTACGAAGTGCTTCTGTTTAAAACAGCCTATATCCGCTGTTTTTTTTTTCCATACTAAGGATAAATAAATGTACAAAAGGCGCAATTACTCCGTTGCATAAAGACCAATAAATGTATTACTAAAAAAATTATTGTCGACTACTCTGTAAATCTGTACCATTTTTTATGCCACGCGTTTTTTACCACGAAGAATATTAGCATATTTTAGCAAAAATAAGTCAACGGGCACACAGGGGCGTCGATCCAGACTAGGCTGTAAATATGAGTAACAAAGAAGACTTTGATTGACTATTCATCGATTTCGGTGAAGCCCTCAGAATAAAATTGACGAGCAGCATGCCCTTCTGGGTGCCCCGGGGATCACTGGATATTATTGGCCGTTTTTACCTAAAACATCAGCACTACAAAATCACGAGGCATAGAGTGCAAATTTTACATGCAAAATACTATTTCTAGGTTTTTTTTAGTGATGCTGGATCAAATCGCAAAAGCCCTTTTTTCGCTAATATGAGTTAACTGCTGCATCTGCTATATTTAAATCCAAGTACAGTTCTAGCTAATACAAAGTTAGCAAGAGAAAAATATTTTCAATTGCTAAATGTTTGATCCTCGATGCCAACTTCAATTTTCAAAATAGACCAGTTACGTTATAATGCAACCCTCCGCTTCCGTGTTCTATAGTTCAAAGTTTAAATGTTCACATCCCTGCCTATGTTCTACCCAAGTTTGCTTGTTATTGTGAAATTTGCTTGTCGCAACTAGGAAATTATACAAGTTATTGCAAAGTTCATAGTAAGTTTTTGCGAAAAGTTGTACTACACTGCAACGCTAACTTTGCCTGTAATAGTTCTAACATATAGTAACTAATACTTGCCAGATTGACAGATTTTTTTGCGTAAGGAAAAATTTATTAACAAGTGGTTCTATAGTCGGATCTCGTGAAGAAGCGATTAAGTGAATAGTAATAATAATAATAATACTTGTAATAATAACTATATCGCACAAACGTGTTTAACATTACGCTTTAACAAAATACCTCACTTAAAGTGGCCTAGCTTGTCTGAAACTAGGAATCGGCAATCGAAAATCTTCAGAAGGTCGGCATCGTACGCCGGGAAACTACCCACCATGACATGAAAATTTCAAGACAAGAAGACAATTGAACCAAAAAAGTCCACGTATAATGGCTGTTGTAGATATAATATGAAAAAATAGCTGTTTTCTTTATTCCTTAATCTCCTGTCGCAAACACACAACAGGTCTTAAGAAACTTTATCCCTACAAAGTCTATTCTTAACCACTTGCCGTTGTCTTACCGCTGAATTAGAATAGAACAAGCATTCAACGTGTTCCCCTATTGGCCCCTTATCAAAATCTAGAACCATTTCCCAATGTATAATTTTTTACATATTCCCAACTGGTCAGCAAATTAAAATCGTCACATCACGTCTCATGGCGGAAGCAAACTTGCCGCTAAAATATTCATTTAATCGGGGATTTGGGACAAAAACACCGACATTGGCTTTTAATAAGACATAGGCGGATGTATTTAGTTATAGCAAAACATACTGAAATTGATAAAGACTGTTTTGTGCAAAACAGGGTGACTCCGTGTGATTTTTGATGAATACGGGCATATGTCAGAGCATTTCGCATGAGTTAAGGTGGTTTGCATGGTTTGGAAATGTTTACCTAAACGTCTGCTGTGAGGTTATAAACAAAATTATAAAACGCACAATAGATGAAACTAATTATTGTAGGACAGCAGGAACCAAATAAAAATTATATCTAATTCACTCTTATCAGTGAATTTCTAAGTCCCTGTCAATCCTATACTTTGTAGGGAGAAAGGAACCGGAACGTTTAATTTTCATTTTCTGTAAATCGTTAAAAATAGCTTATATATTTAGTTCTAGAATATAGTAGTTGTCCTGAAATACTTACCACTAGAAGCAAATACGAATTAGTGTCAAGGTACGTGATTATGTCCCGGTGATGGTTGAAGCGGCAACGAGTCCAGTATCGTAGACTAGTTTTGCATAAATCGTACGTACGAGTTTCATATCGAATAAATTACTCGTAAAATTTTTACACAGATTTTTTTTTTTTTTTTGCAAAAACGTTATTATCTTCACAGTAAGGAGACAGGCCCAAAAGGCGCATAGCAGGTCGCGTCACATCGAGGCGTGCATCTCACGGTTTTATTTTAATTAACATATTTTAAAGCTTGAAATCTGATAAAAGTTGACCAAGAAAAAATGCATGATAATGGAGCTCAGCAGCTTGAAAACCTGTAAAATAAGAGGTTTGAGTAAATTAAACGTTCAACTGCGCGCACTCGTCACTATATGATACGAAATGGTCTACATATATCCGCTACAAGCACCAAAAGTGGTAGCTGCTAGCCGTTTGCTAAATCGTTTAGAGCGGCTACGGTGTGGTAGTGGGTCATACTGCACGCATATTACTAATCTTCAAACTAGTTTAAACAACTTCCAAAAAGAGAATCGGTCTCCTTAGAAGACAAAAGGGACCTTGTTATCTCCAGCCAACAAATAGAAAATCGTCAAAGTAGAGTTACCTCATCTAAAACTGGGTAGTACAAAAACTTGATGCCAGCTGTCTATCTGTAGCGTGACAAAAGCTCTACTTTGTGACTTTTGTTCTATGCCGCGTCATGATAAAGGTTAAAGCTGTGAAATTTTTTGAAAGTACCATTAAACGGCGCAAGAAAGGCTCGCGTGAAAAATGTTGTTACCTGAACTATGCCTTATTTCTGAAAGTGTATCTAAATTAGAAATAGAAAACATAGATATTTCGATAAACTTTTTGACAGTGTGATGACAGATTCAATTCGGGACCCAAACCACACACTGCGCATTTTCTTCCTTTACTCTGCAATTAATTTCTTAGCTGTAATGACGCGTCAAACGAAATTGGTTAGCGTAAGTTTATTAATGGATCGCCCAAGTGGGCAGGGAATTTAAACTTTGGGCTGATGGCAGCCCAACAGTCTCGAAAATACATGAGCAGCTAAACAATGTAAAAGATGCCAAATATATCAACGAGTCTAGCTGCTAACGCTTATATGGACGACAAGATCGGTAATTAGTAGTTTCCTTTTTAAAACTCCCGTTAATTTCTCTATCAAAAATTGAACTTCTTTTGATTAATTTGTGAGCCCTCTTAGTCTAAAGCCTATCGAGGATCCTTTAATTTGCTCCATAGACATCTTCGTCGATTTTTCAAAAACATTATGAAAATTGACAATAACGTAGACTGTCGATTTCAGACTAAAAACGAAGTTTAACATCTCGGTAGGGTTTGTCCTGTATGAAGGAATTAGGAAATAGCTCATTTTTCTTGATTTGAGGGAACGACGCACTATACGCCGCTCATTTTCCACCAGTTCTTTGTTTTGTTCTAATAAGAGTAGGTTTTCTTCTAGCTTTGAGAATGAGAGATAAAGGCATGCCGGTTACGACAAAAGGCCTAATATTTTCTCCAACCTAGGTGGTGTACCATGCATATACTGTGTATAATCAATGTGCACGTATACAGGACATGTAGGCAAAGAGACAAGGCGAAGTGATACATATATTGCCTTACATTGGTTTTGCTGCTTTAGGAATTCTAGTTAAAGTAAGCAAAGCTATACGTTAGCTCGTCTTTACTAAAAGCATGTGCTGTTAACACAGTGTAAGATCACTTTCCTTTACGAAGAAATCTCCGCTCACACAATCTCATCTAGTAAAAATAACAATGCCATGCAATAAATCTAAATTGCAACAGTCTGCTCCCGCTGCGGACTTCAGAGGAGTTAAATCTAGCTTTTTGTGCTTGTACATCATGCTTAAATATCTTCAACATAGATTTACGTATGATTGAAGCATTGAAGAAAACTAAAAAAATAAAAATGTTTATTTTTAACTGATGATTTCGACAAACCTAAAGATGATCATGAAAGACAGTAGGATAAACCTGAAGCAAATTTTGAAATTGGCAATCAAAGAGGAACTGCCCTTCGTGGGGTTCAACGGAAGCAAATATTTTGATAAATAATATATGAGAGATGTTCTATATACTAGTGGTGTGAGACTGGTTCTGAAAGTATATGAATTCTGACACAGTTATATAATGTAATAAATAATACAAATATAGAAATTTCCTGTAGTTTGCAAAATGGCACTATCTGATATAGAGAACAAGGTCTATTTGACTAATTAGGGTAAGAAAACGTTTCCTTCGTTATGTACAATAAACGAGCTGCTGATATGTTTCTGGGCCAATTTGCTCTTTCAGTGGCTTCGAACCCGGTGGGTAGAACTTGCGAGAGACCAAATATAAAAATATATGTACCCTGTTGGAATATATCAATACTAACCTCGTCTCCAGATCGACTGTGCTACGCCTCAGATAGACCATTTATTGTAATATCAATCCGTTTTGGTAGACATATATATAT